ACACACACACACACACACACACACACACACACACACACACACACACACACACCACTTCCAGATATGCCTCATGATCCAGATGTGGTGGTACACACCTGTGATCCCAGCATTTGGGAGGCCAAGGAAAGAATCAGGAGTCCCAGACCAGCCTGGTTATATAAGACCTGGGGGTCTCACAGCTCAGGAGTTCAAGATCGCGCCCTTCCCAGAAATTCCCCCAGACCAAGACTCATTGCAAAAGCAAGAGGTTTATTAACCATTGCACAATGGGGTCACCCCTGCCGGTCAGCAAAGAGTGGCACCGGGAGACAAAGGCCTTTAGGTTTTTAAAAGAAAAATTGCGGGAGATTTGAAGTTGCAGTCTTGGCAATTTAGGATTGGATGAGGAAGCTATAAAGTAAGATAATTGGTTAGTCTTAGGTGCTCAAGCTTGGCCAGTCCTGCCAAGTGTGGATGCAGCTGCAATTGAAGGTGGGGGTGGTTAGCTCATCCTTGAAGATTAGAGGCTACAGACTTTTGGCTGGAGGTCAAAAGCTACTCAGAAGAAGTCTAGGTTCGTTGCTAAGAAACACTATCTCAAAGACAAGGGTCTGGTCCTTCTTTTGCTGAGTGAAGGTCATTGCTTGCTTGCCTTTTTTTATATCTGTCCTCACAGGTAGGGTCACATTCCTCCATTCTCTGGAAAGGTACTAAGAGGCTTTAGCTTAACCTGGACTTAAAACTCAAAACTATAGGCTTTAGAAGACATATAGGTTACAAAGTTAGCCTAACCCTTTCAGTTACACAGCAAGACCTTGCCTCAAAAAAAAAAAAAAAAATTGAAATCATCTCTAGAAGATCAACCAATGCTCTTCTCTGCTGAGCCATCTCTCCAGCCCTCTACTTGAATTTTAACAAATATTTACAAAACATCTATTACATGGTAGGTTTGCAGAGAAGGCCAAATATGAAGAGAAAAATTTGTTTTGTTTTAGACAGCTCTCATGTAGCACAGGCTTGCCTTGAACTCACCATATAGAAAAGAATGACTTTGAACTCTTGATCCTTGTGCCTTCATCTCCCAAGTGCTGCATGCACCACACCGCTCAGGTGGAAAATGGCAAATTCATTTACAAGATGAAGTGGGAACTGGGAGTAAGGCATGCTATCGGAGACCTCATGTATATCAGTGGTGTGAAGGAGTGTGGATAGCACAGAACAAGTATCCATACATGGACAACCAAGGCCAGACTGGATAAGGAAAGCCAGTTATGCCTGTAAATTCTGAGCCAAATCTTTTTAAAAAAAGTTATTCTGTGGAGAGCTTGTTGCATAAGTAGGGTTGAAAGCAAGAAGAGAAAAGGGGTGGATTCAGGGTCCCAACTCCCTGGGGAAATCTGTCATGGCCAAGTTGGACACAGGCAGGAGAGGAGAGGAGGTGTTCCTGGTCACCTTTGTGTGTTATCTAAGGCTTTCCTTTTTCTATCTAATCTCGTGGGTCAAGTATCTGATCCAGGAGAGAGAAAACAGGGAACAGGACAGGAGTCTACCACAGAGGCCTCTGAAAGACTCTACCCAATGGGGTATTAAAGCAGATGCTGAGATTTATAGCCAAACTTTGGGCAGAGTGCAAGGAATCTTATAAAAGAAGGGAGAGATAGAAAGACCGGGAGTGGACAGGAGCTCCACAAGGAGAGCAACAGAACCAAGAAATCTGGGCAGAGGGGTCTTTTTTGAGACTGATACTCCAACCAAGGACCATGCCTGGAAATAACCTAGAACCCCTGTACAGATGTAGCCCATGGCAGCTCAGTGTCCAAGTGGGTTCCCTAGTAATGGAAACAGGGACTGTCTCTGACATGAACTCAGTGGCTGGCTCTTTGATAATCCTCTCCCTGAGTGGGAGCAGCCTTACCAGGCCACAGAGAAAGGCAATGCAGCCAGTCCTGATGAGACCTGATAGGCTAGGGTCAGATGGAAGGGGAGGAGGACCTCCCCTATCAGTGGACTTGGGGAGGGGCATGGAAGAAGGAAAGGGAGGGAGGGTGGGGTTGGGAGGGGATGAGGGAGGGGGCTACAGCTGGGATACAAAGTGAATAAACTGTAATTAATAATAAATAAAAAAATTTAAAATATAAAAAAGTTAGGAAAAAATATCTGATTCAGAGACAAATCTTGACATTCTTAGTTAATTTATGAGTTGTGAGTTCTGCTGTGGCATAGCTGTATATGTACATATGTGGCAAACTGTATATAGCTTACAAATGTTTCTTAGTTGTGAGAAATAAGAAATTAAATCTTTTTTTTTTTTTTTTTTGAAACAAGAGTCTCATATTGTAGCCCATAACATCACATCAGCCTGTAACTCACCATATATCCTGGGCTGGCCTTGAACTCACAACAATCCTCCTGCCTCAGTTTTCTGAGTGCTAGCTAGCATCATAGGTCTGAAACACAACTAGCCAGATCTTTGTTTAAATTTTATTTTATGTTTATTATTGTGTGTGTGGATGCCAGCAGACAACTTTTAGGATTGGGTCTACTCTTTCCACAGTGAACCTTGAGGGACCAAACTCAGGTGGTCAGAGGGAAAAAGTCAGGTTTATAGTTTAGCTCAGTTTTTGCACGTATTGTAGTCATAGGACTTTGGTACATTAACTGGGGGAGGGGAGGAGGGACCCCAGATTTCAAACCCAATCATTATTCAGTATTCTCCACTATGGAGAAACTTAGGGAAAAGTTTGGGGAAATGAGTTGTGAATTCCAGTTTGACATAGGTTTGGACAACACATAAAGGAGACTGACATCTTTATTCCAACTGCCCAGCAGATGCTGAATCGAGTCACTAAGATGACAGGGGCACAGTCGTTACGCCATGTTTATGAGAGTGTGCCGGACACATCTGAGGCCAGCGCGTGCAAAGCCCGTCTGATATTCTGAGTAGTAATTCATGACGCCAACAGCAAACACAAGGAGGTTTTTTAGGGACAGTAATGTCCTGGGCAGACACAAACTAAGACAAAAAGATTAGTAAGCTTGACTCATAAAGCGCAAAGCGAGAGTGGTTCAACAAAAGCCAGGAGGGATGGCTCAGACCTATAACGCCAGCACCTGGGTGGCTGAGGCAGGAGCACTGTGGCAAGTTTGAGTCCAGCCTGAGTTAGACAGTGAGTCCCAGGCAGGCCAAGGCTACAGTGTGAGATCCAGTTTCAAAACCAAAACAAAAAAAGGAAAGGAGAGAGGGTTGTAAAGCCGTCACAAGTCCAATGTGAGAGGGCATCTACGTGTCTTCAGTCAAAAGCATGGGGTGAAAAGTAACCACGAGTGTGCTGTCAATGCCCAGGCAGCCCAACATGGCATCTCTCTGGCTGGCTCCTGAATGCTGCAAAAGAAAAGAAGCGGCATCCTAAGCAGTCTGCTAAATGCCTGCCCCAGCCCCCATACAGGAGGGTGATAAAGGATGACCCCGTCGTGTTTCATCAGTTCCACACCCCCACACCTGTGTCAGAAGACGGCCCTTGAGGATTCAGTTCCTCCAAGGGCTGCTGCTTCTTCAGGTCTAAACTGGAGCAGGCATGTTTGGGCCTTTCTGGCTTCATGAGGTCAGTTCCTGCCCAACTTGCTGTGAGCTGCATGAGACACACAGTAAGATAGGTTCACGTCAGTCTGGGACAGGACCGGAGATGCCGGCTTTGAAAATGTCCCCAATGGTAGGCGACCTACTATATATTCATTCATTCTTTCATTCATTCATTAGTTCATTCATCCGTCCATCTATCCATTTTCCTTTCCGCATTCACCTCTATCAAGTGCAGAGCTTGACAAGTGCTCTGTCTACCACTGAAGTACATCCAGCTTATGAAAAACTGTTCACTGGCCTTGTTCTTTGGGAAATGTTGGGTATAATTCATGCAGCTACACATAACACAGGCCCCTTTTGACATCGCCATTATGTTGTCTTGAAGTGAAAACAAAGAGAAATGCAGTTCTTTTTAGGGGAGTTTTCTTGTTTGCTTTTACCTAATGTCTTTTGAATTCAGTTATAAACCCATCTCAGGATCAAGCTAGCTACAGATCACACCAGCTTCACACCTTGGGTTCCGAGCATCTGGACTAAAGGAAAGGCTGTGGGCTGTCCAGGAACTCTTCTCCGCCCACAGAAACCACAGTCTGGATGCATCTCTACCGGGAGAGGAAGCATCAACTTTGTCTGGAAAGCGGTACGGCCTAATAGTGAGAGAGAGTTCTCTGGCTCCAGCTTCCTCTGTAATTGCCAAGCACAGCTGTGCACATCTCCTATAGAACTGGCATTAGGGCTGCATTACCAGCTGGCGCACAGGCTCGCTTGAGCCAGGGTTGGAGGCCAGCCTAAACAACATAATGACAACCTACTTCCGGTATTAAGGTGAGGCCAACAGAAGGTGTGATTGGTGTGTTTTCCTGTGGAATATGTAAACCCACAAGGGCTCTCAGGGTCATTGCTGTTTTTTTGAAGGTTCCCTAGAAGGAAGTAGGATGAGCTTCCCAGAAGCCTGACTCCTAAGTGTGTGTCTGTGGGACTGGGTTGGGTAGAGTTTTTTCTATGGGGGTCTTCAAGAAAAACAGTTCAGTGATTAGAGGTACAGCTCAATAGAAGAGCATTTGCCTAGGATGCACAAAGCCTCAGGTCCAATCTCCAACAGTGGGGAAAGTGAGTGAGCAAGAGAGAGATAGACAGACAGAGACAGATATTTTGAAGTCAATTAATTTTTGAAATAGTTCAGACTCCAAGAGAGGCTGTGACTCAGAAGAATTAAATTGAATACCCTTTGAAGGTTTTTGCAGCCATTCTTTGAAACAAGTCCTTTATGTATTTCCTTCCTTCTCATTTCAGAGACATCCAGGAAGGCTCCTGGAATATGGTTATTATACTCAAGTCCTGCCAAAAAAAAAAAAAAAAAAAAACCAATTGTAAGAAAAGAAGCTATTTGATTGGGTCAAGAGGAATAATTATACTTCCTAAAAATAAGCTGAGTCTAAGGAAAGAAAATGAAAAGCTTTACAAAGAAGGTGATCTGTGCTTCCTTTCTGGCCTCCCTTCATCACTGTGTTTACGTTAATAGCTGCCTGTCCTTCCAAGCCAGATGATTCAGTGGCCTGGCCACGGCTTACAAAGTGTTTCATCTGTGGTCATCCATACTGCCTGGGAATAAATGCTATTTAGTCATGCAGAGAAAAGCTGTAACCTCCTGACCCATGTTCCAGCCCAAAGACCTTGCTTTTAACTTGCACACAGATGGAAAGGAGCTCACGGAGTCAGACCTGGCCATTATCGAGTGTGCCTTATGTCTGATGGTCAAACAGGACAGGGTGTTTCAAAGTTTGCACATCAAGACCTGAAACTGAAGCTTAAGAATCTATCATCTTAATTGCCCTCTTCCTATGCCCTACACGGAGCTGCCTTCCCCGGTAGGAGTATAGGGCAGTGAATTAACTGCTGTTTGGGGTGGGAGAATTATGAATTATGAGGTCACCCTACTGCATTTTCCTGGATAATTAAGAGGAAGTGCAGCATTCTTTCTGACCTATTTTCTGATTAGGTCAGCAGACCCCACCTAGATCTGACCTCTTCTCTGAACAGATAACCACAGACAAACGACTTTCAGACTCAGATGCATGTGCTGCTAGGTGACGGGGCCCTGGCTGCTTAGATCAGAACTTTTGGTCTGCTCCTTAACTTGTGACTTCTCTCTGCAATGCCTGACTCAGCCTTGACCTCTAGCAAGGGCACGTGCCTTAAACTTTGCTTTGCATGCACACTGCTTGCCTTCTGCTCAGTTACTACTCTTCACTTTTGGACTCCTTGGCCAGGCCAATCCTTACAGAGTAAGAACAATAGAGACATTGTTAATCTGAAGTAGCCAAGGTTCAATAAGCGTGCAAGGCTTCCTTAAGAACCTACATTTCCTCATTGCAAATGCGAGTTTTATGAATTAAAGGTAGCTGAATTCTAAAAGGTGACACACTTTTCAACCTCAGGACATCCCTTAAAAACGGGTGTTTGCTCCCAAGGCAGGGTTGTGTTGTCACCTGTTGCTGTGCCAACAGTGCCACTTATGCCAGAGGGACAGAAAGTTCACTGTTCCTTTAAGACCTTAGTTACAAGAAGTGCATAAATTCTAGGAAAATATAATTTACAAATGCCAGTGTGTGCAATCGCATGTATCTCCATGTGTTAGGCATTCAAATGTGTTTGGCTGTCTGGAACAACAAAGGTATTTTGGACAGAAGGAATGTTCCATCGGGAGCAGAAGGTGCGGTTGCAGGACTTGCCCAGGCACTCATCAGATTGCTTCCAGTTTCTTTCTAAAACATGGGAGGTGTTTCCAGATCATACTCAGGACCAGAAAATACCTTACAAGTTACTCAGTTTAACCGCTAACCTTCCAGTGACAGGGAGAACTTCCTGTTACCAACCCCTACCCTTTCTAGACAGTTTCTAGTAGGGGAACGGTCCTCTCTGTGTTTTCAGCAGACACCCTCCTTCCGGCATGATCCAAATTCTATCCTTTCCAACATCACCCACACCCACTCCTTCAATCCAAGTGCCTTTTGGCATTTCCCTCCTGTATTCCAGGTCCAAACATTGTATTGTCACTTGCTTCCTACCTTCGTCATCTGAACTTCTTAGCCACTTCTCTGCCTGGTCACTCGTCTCCAGTTCTGTCGTAAGCTGTTGTTATCCATGTCAAAGAGCTGTGGAGAGGATGCCACAGAATTCACTGGCAAACAGCAAGAGGAGGGGGAGCCCTTTCCAAACACACTTCCTCTCCCCTGTCCTGAGCATTATGCTCCTATTAGCATAGCCCACATCACATTCTCACCATCTGAAGGACAGTCATATCATGTCATTGAATTATTTTGGTATTATGCAATTTCCTCCCTATGAAGAGTAAACAATACTTCTTTAATTCTGTCCTTTAATTGCTGGTCTCTTTCTGAATGTAGAACTTTGCATTTACCTCTTTGGATTTCATCTTTTTAGTGTTGAAAGATCCTATAAGAGGAGTTCAAGGCCAAGAGAATTTAATAATGATCTTCAAGGAAGAAGGAACAAGAAACAGTTCCAGAAAAGCAGAGAGCCCTTGTTTGTTTTTTATGGTTGTGATAAACAGTATGACCAAAAGCAGCTCAGGAAGGAGAGGCTTATTTCAGCTTGCAGGTTACAGTTCAGGCAGAGACCCAATACAGGAGTTTGAAGCAGAAGCCATGGCAGAGCACTGCTCTCTGGCTCACCGTCAGCTACATTTCTTGTACAGCCAGGCCTACCTGCTAGGGATAGATTGCTCACGGTAAGCTGGGCCCTCCTGTATTGATTAGCAATCAATAAAATGCACCACAGACATGCCCACAGGTCAATCTGAGGGAGGGGGTCCTCAGCTGAGGTTCCTCTTTCAACCTGTGTCAAGCTGACAAAAAGATTAGCCACTGCCCAGAGGCTAAGAGGAAGTCTAATGGCGGGGGAACACTAGGAGGGCAGGCTGACCTTCTCTTTATTTTTGCTTCCTTTTAAAATCCTAATAAATTGACATGTGCTGTTTTGCTTTGCTTTGCTTTGTTTTGTTCCAAGACACAGATTTACAACAGTCAGATTGGAAAAGCTGTGACTGAAAAATTGTCATCAACACAGTTTTAGAATTTTAAAGGCTGACAGGCAAATGAGAGCCAGCTCATCTGAGAAAATTAGTCCTTAGGCCAACAGTGGGGAAACAACAAGGAATTCAACATGCTCCCCCAAAGTCAGGCGGAAGACCGGAATGAGAAGTGTGAGGTAAGCTGAAAATAGACCCAGATTAATAGGGGCCAGAGGGATGGTGCAGTGGTTAAGAGTGTGAACAGCGCCTGCAGAGAACCTGAGTTTGAGTCCCGGAACCCATGTGAGAACTCCCCCACCAGGAGCTCCAGTTCCAGAGGGATTCAATACCTCTGGCCTCCGTGCGCACTTGCGCTCACATGCTTCTACACATACACAGACACATATAGATAATCAAATACTAAATAACTTTTAGAAACAAGGTGTGTTGATTCCTGGGAGGAAAGGACTGACAGGTTAAGTCCAGACAGGAACTCCGGGCAGTAGCTTGAAGCAGAAGCCATGCTCACTTGACAGAAGGGAAACTATGTGAACAGTAGGGCACTGCTGAGGGTTAGGAGAATGTTTTTAGGAAATTAAAGGGGGTTTCAGATCAGCCTCTTACCTACCAAGCATTAAAGGGTTATCTTTAAACAACCCAAGGGCAAAGAGTCAGACTTTAAATGTTCCTCAAAAACGGATGAAAGCCAGAAACAAGCCTCACCCACATGTACAGAGCTGTTAAGCTGACTGCCAGGCTGTCTTCTGTAGAAACATGTGCAGATCTAAGATCAAGCAGGCAGGTCTCCAGCATATGAGACAGATCACAAAAAAAGAAGAAAGAGAGAAATTGAAAGTCATCACCACAAAACTACATTTAGCATCTCAGAAAGCCAAGAAGATACAAAAATGAGAGAGTTTAGAGACCATTAGCAGGCATGAATATCGCAGTATAAGATTTGGAAAATCAGGTGAAGAAGTTCCTCAGAAAGTAAATTGAAATGACAAAGGAAGCATAAGATTGTAGAAATGGAAAAAAAAAGATTGTGGAGATGAGAAAATTAAAATAAATATTCAAAACCATCCAACACTTTAATAAGGAAAAGTTATAAGGAAAACATTTTTAAATTAACAGAAAAAAGAAATAAGAGAAATAGAAAAAAACTACAAAAAATAATTCCAAAAATTTTTTCAGAACAGAAAGTTTTGTTATCAAATGGGAAGGGCACACATAATGCCCAGCACAATAGCTTAAGGAAAAAAAAAAAGAGCTTCATTCTATACCCACAAAGTCTCAGCAACCTGACTGCCTAAATACAAGCTAAACAAGAATAACAATAGACAAGCTTTTCCAAAGTGCCCAGGGGAAGGACCAGGAGGCTTCAAAGAGCTACAGACCACTAAGGAATGCTGAGAGAAGGAGAAATAGTCTTCCCCAGGAAAGAGCACACTGACTGGTTATCCAACACATGGGAAAGTAAATGTAACATTCTCCAGTGAACAGAAGGAGGAATGTGGTACTTTAGGTTGTATTGGACAGAACCATCTCTGTACAGGATCTATGCTGTAGACTGAATCTAAAATGAATAGTTAAAATAACTATTTCTGGTTTAAAAAGAAAAAAGAGAGCCATAGGAAACCACACACACACACACACACACACACACACACACACACACATATACACAATACTTAAGGACACAGACATAAAGAGAAAATCATAAAAACTTGCAGAATAGAGAGCAGGTCACACACAAATAATCAGAAGATAGAATGCTTGGAAATTGGGGTGAGAGGAGCCCGGCTTTCTGAAGTCTGAGGGAAAATGATCTATGGTTTAAAATTCTGCTTTGACCATCAACTCAATGTAAAGCCAGGAGGCTGGAGAGATGGCTTAGTGGTTAAGAGTGCTTATTGCTCTTCAGGGGATCCAAGTTTGACTCCTGGCACCCACGCCAAGCAGCTCACAACTGTCCTCATGGGGAATTCAACACCCTCTGTTCTATGGGAGTCCCTCCACACATGTGGTGCCCATAAACTCGTGCAGGTGCACACACATACATACAAACAAAATTTTAAAACAATATTAAATATAAAGAATGAAGGTGTTTTCAGTTTCTAGACATAAATTGTCTGAACCTATGTCCTTGGTCCAGTTTCTCAGGAAGCTTGTGTTGAACACATACCAGCAAGTCAAGGAGTCAACAGAAGATAGAAGAAATAAAATTCAGCTCGAGACACAGGCACAGAGTTTGTCTCGGATCATACTGAAGATGTGAGGGCGGCGGGGGGGGGGGAACCTCAGAGCCTCAGAGAGCAGCCTAGTCAGGCTGGAGCAAGTGGGAGAACACAGGAAAGATTTCTCTAAGAAGATGAAAATGATAGATTAATGCTAAGTCTACGCTAATGGGGAGAAGATTTAGACAGCCATGGAGAGTTTGTGGTTAAATTAATTATACTTTAGAAGACATTAAGGGAAGAAGAACATGGCAATTATTAACCTCAGAGAAAATAAAATGTTGTGTAAGAAAGGGCAAGTGATCACCGTGTGCCACACGGCTCACCGGCAAGTATTATTTACATGAAAGCCTGCTCCCACCAGAATGGGACGGGAGTGGTCTAGCTTCCGGCTGGGATGAGAACAGGAGAAATACATATATATTTGGTAGTGTCGTGATGGGGCAGTGGTGAAACTCAATGAAATGTTTCTCTCCCATGTTAGGAAGTCATTAGATAATGTTCAAAATAGAAATGCTATGACAGCATATCCATGGTATTTAGAAATAGGGAGACTGGGCTGGGAGTAGCAGTGGGAGACTGAATCTTTAGTGGGAATGAGGCCTGAGAGGGAGAAACACTCATCAAAGAAAAAAAAAGATTTACAAACTGTCTCTGGCTGGAGAACTAGGTTCAGTAGCCAACTGTGTAGATTACACAACTCTTTACATGCACAATAACTACAACAAAAATTATGAGCTAAATTTTTGTTTGTTGCTTTTGATATAAGGTCTCAGTATGTAGGTCAGGCTAGACGTGTGACAATCCTGAGCCTCTCAAAAGTGCTGAAATCATAGACATCAGCCACTATGCCTAACGTAAAAAAATTTAATTTAAAACAAGAATGAATATGTGTATGAAGGAACCAAGCCAACTAACTAAAACAATTTATTAAAAACACCAACAAAAAAAGAGAGAGAGATAGCTGGAAAGAAGAGCCTATAATGATGAACTCAATACTCAAGCCCAGTACTCAAGGCTGAGATATGGGCCAGAAATGGAGGCCAGAGGAAAGGCCCGTGTTTAAGTACCTAACTAGAACAAAGGGAAGGAGGAGGCAGGGCCAGTCACCACAGGCCACCAAGTCATCTTCCGGAGATTTCTGGATTTCAGGCACTTTGCTCTAATTCCATCTTGTTCTATCTCAGTTGAGGCCAGCGATATCAATGTCTTACACATCTGGAAAGGTTCCCTGCTTCTAGACTTGTACCCTTCCAATTCACTCTGTGCAGAATGTGCTTTCTAAAATAGAAAGCCATCCCCCAGACCACGTATGTTAATGATCTCATTACCTTGATGCAAGACAAAGCAATCAGAAAGAGATGAGAATTCTTGAATGGTCCATCTCTCTGGCATATTTTCCTTCTACTACTTCATCATACGAAGGTGGTACCCTTCCTTGGTTTTACCTTCATCCCTTTCTACACTTGCCCATAACCTGCTTAGTTCATAAGCATCCTTCAGGATGTGGCTCTATAATCCATTCTCTGACATCTTGATCTAGCACTCTGTAGCACCTGTCAGAATGCTCTAAGAGCCAAACAGTATCTGTTTGGATATCTTAGCTGTGAGTCAAGTAGTCACAACGCCTGCTCTCCATCTCACTGCAGCTCACATATGGGAACTCATCCACTCATTTGTATCCAGGAGTGGAGTCAGAATGACCATGAGGAAGAGCTACCCTCTCTTTCCTATACATTCTGTCTCCACGAGCGTCTCCGCCATGCCTCCACTTCCAGCTTTAGGATTTGAGAATTCAAAACTAGCATGTTCTTCCTTTCTGCCTCCAGCAGAATCCTGAGGACTGGTTCACTTTGCTTGAGGCTACCCCAGTACCTGAACAAAA